AACATAGTAATATAGCACACTTTTAATATGGATATTTATTAAATGAGGTTTCTACTCATATGATTTTATGATTATTTGCATATTTGTGTAACAAAACTTTACACCAATGATTTATAAATTACGTTATGATTATTTGAATTTAAGTATTTTCCATTTTACATATACACTTCCATAAATTAAAAGGAATGAAGTTATTATAATTAATATATGCAAATCCTTATCAAATTGTATATTCTCCTTTTCTTCCATTACATGCGTGCGATATATATAAATATATAAACTATGTTACATGCGTTATATGTGTCTCTAATTATTTTTCCCTAGCAAATTTCAATTGAACCTAAAGCCGCCACGTCAGTTTAATTGATATGCTAATTGATTGACAACTAAGCAAGGTTACTTTTTAATTAATACAAACTTGAGGTTACATCTTTTCAAATGTTTCTCAATTAATATATAGGGGATAGATAGATAGTTACTAATAATGAACACTTTTTTTACAAAATATAGATTTTCTAGCTTTTAACAGAATCCTCATTTTATTTTTGATATAAATAACTTACATAATAATTATTGTAATATCTTAATATGTAGTTTTATATTTTCTATCTTCAAAATGTTGGTAGAAAATAATCACTATTAAAATCTAAAAATTAAGTATATAAAATGAATGGACTTTTATTTAAACTTAAAATGATATTATATAAATTTAAGATCGTATATATTTTGTTGTTATGAATAACGTTTATTCATTTTATTTATTTATAAACTAAATGATATTAATTTATCCTTGTCATCAATGTTTTGAATACCAAACCAAACATTGAGTTGACTTTGCAGTATGGTCAATGGTCACACCGGTCCAATTGGGTTGTAAATTTAGTTTGATTTTAAAGTATCTATATAATCGATTACTATAAAATTATTTTTATAAGACCTTTTTACCATTGTTTGAAGCTAAAATGATCTGGAAATAAAATGAAAAATTCATAAAAATATAAAATATAATGAAAATTAATTTATTTAAATAGATATTTTAAACAATACATGTTTATATGAAAGTATTTTTAAAATTTTCATTTTCAACTTGAATTTGAAAAAATCATGGTTTAATATCAAACTGTACCATCGATTTTAGTGAACCGTTTCTTAAACCGAATTTGTTGGTTTTTAGCACAACTAAAAAAAAATTAGAAGAGAGAGAATCATGATCCAAGCAGCCATTTCCGGTTTTTAAAACACTTCTTCTCACATAACATCGCTTTTAATAACAAACAACAAAATCATTTTAGGAGACTTACGAACTTATGTAAAAAACCATATACATATTTAACTGAAGTTGTTATTTACTGTTTAACCATTTTTAAAAAAAAATTGCCATCTTAATTTTTTTTTGTTTTTCAAGTTTCCAAAAAACCAAAATATAACTTTATAAGAAAGATATAGAAATTGTTGTAACCACCATAATTATACATTTAAGAAAAGATAGTCATTTTAACTTGAGTAAATGAATATATTTTTTTCTTAAAAGGAAATGATAAGCTAGTATGTAAACTTTTATGGATTGGACTTTTTGACTCAACTTGCATATAATCTATATTTTGTTACCAACTTATGCATTTAAATAACTGGTGAAATAGTAATAAATAAATATTTGTGAATATTCTTTATGTCTTATAATATTCGATGTCTTTAGATCTACTGATATAAATTTGTAACTATATTGTTATCAAATATTCACTATCAAGATAAAGTTCAGTGAAGAGAGAGAATCATGATCCAAGCAACCATTTCCAGTTTTTAAAAAACTTCTTCTCACATAACATCGCTTTTAATAACAAAAAACAAAATCATTTTAGTAGACTTATGAACTTATGTCAAAAACCATATACATATTTAACTGAAGTTGTTATTTACTGTTTAACCATTTAAAAAAAATTGCCATCTTAATTTTTGTTTTTTGTTTTTTGTTTTTCAAGTTTCCAAAAATCAAAATATAACTTTATAAGAAAGATATAGAAATTGTTGTAACCACCATAATTATACATTTATGAAAAGATAGTCATTTTAACTTGAGTAAATGAATATTTTTTTTTAAAAAAAAAGGAAATGATAAGCTAGTATGTATACTTTTATGGATTGAACTTTTTGACTCAACTTGCATAATAATCTATATTTTGTTACCAACTTATGCATTTAAATAACTGGTTGAAATAGTAATAAATAAATATTTGTGAATATTCTTTATGTCTTATAATATTCGATGTCTTTAGATCTACTGATAATGAATTTGAA